GAATAAGCTGACAATAGATTAAAAAAAAGAGTAAAAATTATTATCCAAAAAAAAAAAATTTACTTCGTTGGGTTTAAAAAAAATCTAGCTATAAACAACTTACGACCATACGTTTTAAAGAACATATTCCCGTTTATTGATTTGTTTTTTAAAACATTCTAAGATATCTCTCTCTCTCTCCATGTGTTTTCACATCGCTGAATTCTTAGATAAAACCGTATACTAATAAAGTTGCAATGAAGAGATGATGACGGATAAAAACTTTGGGTAAATTATATGTAGTGTACTTATTTATTTAATTTATGTTTTGTCTAAATAGACCTATAATCACTACCCTTTCACTGACTGACGATCTGAAGCATAACTATACTAATAATTAAATTGTGTTAGTTTCAATGAAATATTTGGAGCACAGTACAAAAAATGCATAAACATTTTATACTGATGTCTAAGACATACGACATGCATTTAATGCAATTTTACTCACTGGGGGTATATTTGAATTATGTTTCACAATGGATGACAAGATCGGGTATATGTTTTATGCACATATGCATCAATAGCCTCACTTCGATTTTAATAAATACAGACATATTAAAAATATACCGATATATTCTTCTGTTTTTGATCACGGGCGCGGGATCGTCATGTGCAAGTGTTTTGACGAAACCCGATATAACTGTATGCTATAACTATACATTATTTTGTATCAGCATGTATAAGCCATGGATATAACTGAATTTTGTTAATCAACTGAGATGATTCTTCTGCATGTACATAAAAAAGGTGGATTTCGGTGCGGAAATGCAGATGATTATCTTAATGCGTATTTTTTTCATTCCTTTTTTTTCATTTTTTTTTTAATTTTCACTTTGGACAGCAACCCATATCATTATTATTTCGCTTGTTTTAAAAAGGTATAGCATGATATCTCTGCTACACTCTCTATTAATTTGTTTACAATTTAAGTCATGCCTGATAACACTATTAACAACAGTATTTTGAATTATTTCAGGGAGGGGAGGGGGGAGGGGTAGTAAAGAAAGACACCGAGGCGGGAATTTCTGATAACTTATAATTTGATGGTATCATCCAGTTGGGTTTACATGTAAATAAATCATATACATGTAAATACATGTAGGGACACTATCTAGAGCGTTAAAAGCTTTTCAGCAACATCCCAATTAATTTACAGCCTTTATGACGTCACAACTGACGTATTACTAGTAACGTCATACATAGTGACCTAGTCATAACAAAAACCACAAAGTTTTTCCAGACATTTATTTCAGAAAATGTCTGTAGTTGACTATTTTTCACATTTAGCGTTTTAAATGAATAATTTACTGATTTTCTAGCATATTTTGTGAAATTTATATTTTTTTATTATTACATGAATTGAATGTAAACGATTGATCTACAAATTAATGATTATTTGATCCATCAAAATTTAAATATAAAATCAAATTTCATATTGGCCACAGCCACGAACAACAACGATATTAAACATAAAGATTTGTATTGGTAATATCTATATCTATGGGAAGTATAAAAGTTGTTCTTGACTGTGGCCACATCTAACTTTGGGAAAATCTGTCGAAAAAACGGCATTTTTATCGTTTTTATGAAACCGTCGTATTTTCCAACCGTCGCACGTGTTTAATGGCGCATTATATAACGATATAAGTTATGTATGGAAAAGAAGAATGTTGTCCTCTAATATTTAACGTATAGTACTCTTCTTGAACCGAAACTTTATTTTGTGAAAAACACAGGGCCAAAAATGATGGTTCGTGGCTTTAGCTCTTTGTTGGTTGCGTAAAAGTAATATGAGAAAATTAAAAAAAAAAAAAAAAAAAAAAAAAAAAAAAAAAAAAAAAATACGGATATTATTTTTGCTTTAAAATATATCTCTGAAATTTTTTTAAATTTTTTTTTCTCTGAGCGTTTTCAAATCAAGCGCAGTCTATAATATTAAAATTTTAAAATTCAAACTAATGCTTAAAGTACATATTAAGTTTTAAAAACTCTGATGTAACATGTATTACCATATATTCATCACTCAAAGTGTCTCTAGTGTGTATGTTGACAGTCATCCTAAAAGGACAGAATACTAGTATTAGTTAAATGTCATCTTATTTTCTCTATCGATGTACTAACTATTTTAAACAGATTCAAATTTATAGACATGTACCGACTGAAAAAAAAGTTTTCTTTCATAGTGTTCAAAATATCTAATTTTTCCGTTTTAAATGATAATTCAGGAAATTTAAATGTAAGCAATTCGTGTGTGCAATGTATTCACCAAAAAAAAATTTCTTTCTTAAAAATAACCCTAGAAAAGATAAAAATCAACAATAATACATGTATCTATTTTGAGTTTTAAGGTGAATGTCTTAAAAGTTCATTTATAACCGCTAATAATTCAATTTTCCTTACTTTCATCACTTTGAACTAGTGTATTTCTATGGAGAATTATTTTCTGTTCATTTTCCGATGATTGTAATGTCAATATTAGTATCCGAACTACTTTAGGAATAACCGCGAAGCGGATTATAAAACAGCGAAAAATGACCCAAACCAGGTTATACTCGAATAATTTGGCCAAGAATTAGAGTCATTCCTTATGATTTAATTTTAAAATTATTAAATAACTATGGGTGTAAAATTTCGTTGCTTTTTATTAGTTCAAATTTGCCGCTCAATAATACAACCGTAGTAACGGAAGTGATGGGAAGCGAGGGGAGGTAAAAACTGATACATAGGCCTAGCAGCCTTGTTGTTTGTTTACTTGGGGTAAGATCGAATTATTGTTTGAAGTTAAAGGTACATTTATTAAATCTGGAATTTTCCATGAATCCCGAGGACTGGAAATGAGAGGATTGTATGGATACAGATGATTCAGCAGGTTGTCGGGGGGGGGGGGTCCCCATACCAAACCAGGTTATACAGAAATAATTTGTGTTCCTTATTGGATATTAACCAATCAGAGGCTAGAATACAAACAAAATTAAATTATAAACTAATAGTCTCTAAAACGTACGACAATGTTCTTTTCATGATTTAAATTCAGCTTCTGTAAATCTTTTGTTTCTCTCCGCGTGCTTTAAAGGAAATATTTTAATCATATGTTTCTATTTTTAAATTATACAATAAAAATTCTTGTTGAGAAGAAAAAAGAAAATATTCAAATAAATTGTTAAGCGAGGTAATTGTTGTCAATGGGTAATGCCGGGGATGGCAAGGGATATAACTCTGTAAAGAAGCACGTGTTTTACGTTTTTTATTTGTAAAGAAAGAATTTACAATGAATTTAGTACAAATTGAAAACCAAACAAGAAAAAAAAATTGTTATTCAGGTTATGAAAATTAAATGGTAAGAAGGACCTTAGACTAAGTTTTCCTGATGTGAGTGTTATTATCACACTCTCACGTATTTCGTCTGCACATCAACCTTATACAGGGTATTAACCATGTTAATTGTCACAAGTTGTACGTGTATTTTAAGGTGTATCGACAAGCAAGTTTATTTCTAGATTTTTTTAACCTGAAGATATCTCTTTCTAATATTACATTGCACCCCACTCGACGTGTTACCGTTGACCGTTTGCTTATTGACAACAAAGCAAGTTTCTGTCTGCTTTATGTGTAATCGCTTTTAAAAATTGCACGTGCAGATTTTCATAACTCACGTAATCGATAACTTAGTAAATCATTATAAAGACAATAAAACATAACGGAGAATTCTTTATTTTTAACACATTTAAAAGAAAATTATACCCGCCTTGTGTACTACAGGCTTTTAGATCCGCTCCCAAGAATCATGCAATTTTCCATTCGATATATTTCTACGCACCTGTTGGCATGTAAATTTCGTGCACAATTTTTTGAGTTAGCTAAATAATGAGTATGTACATGAAAAGAAACATGTATTTCGCTGAAATTGAATTATAAGCATTGACTATAAAAATTATTTTGTTCATTGAGAAATGAATCTAAAAAACGAATCGCACACTTTTTTATGAAAGCCTTCGGCTTTCATAAAGTGTGCGATTCGTTTTTTAGATTCATTTCTCAATGAACAAAATAATTTATATAGTCAATCCTATATTGTTTGAATTATAATTTATGTCAATAATTCTATTGGTTATGTTAATAAATTTTCTGTATAATATTTTTTTTAAAAATTAGCACTGTGCTGAATATATGGTAGTTGTTGCTATGAAAATTGATTCTTGTTTGTTCGTAAAGACTAAACTTCAGGCGTTGGCAATTTTTCCCCTTTTTGTTAAAAACGGGGTAATCAATTTGGGTCTGTCCGTGTTCTATTCTGTCTATCTGACAACTTTAGTTGTCGAATGATATTTCTAAGTCATAAGTTTTTGCAATGTATCATAACTTCTCGTGACTGAAAAAAGGTCAAAAGGTCAAAGGTCGAGGTAAAATATAAGCATTGCATCAATCTTTAAATTACAGTTAAGATTTTACAACGTTTAATTTGTAAGCGACATAAAAAATCCTTAATTGGGCATGTTTTTTTTGTAAAATGACTGTTTAATCAGAAGTCCGTGGCATGCTAATTTTATCTTATTTTTGACACTTCATGCTTCTTTCATTAGTATATTGTTTTCTAAGTTTTAAAAAGGATAGGTATTTATTTTTATTCTTTTTCAATAAATTCAGCGACAATTGTTGATTATTGCGAGACAGACATATACAAATATAATACTGTTCAAAATGTGTTAATTTACCTTAATTGAATTTGATACTAAGATATAGCTAAAAGAAGATAACCAATCAAAGCTTTTGTCTGCTTATAAATACGAAGGCATCTCTGCAAAGCATAAGCTTAATAATCTCCAAAGCTTAACAACAGCATGTCTTTTTCCTCGAACAGAAGCATTTATGACGAAACTCTGGATGTGCTACAAAGCACTTCAGGAGTTTTGACGAATAAATCAACTTTTGCTAACTGGACATCAAATGTTGAGTACTCTATTGATGAGTATCAGCTTCCAAAGGCGTTATTAGCGAGTGTTTTAGTGTCGTACGTGACACTCTTCGTCCTGTCATGTCTAGGAAATGGAGTCGTTTGCTTGGCGATTGGTTTTCGGTTTCTTAAACCCACAGTAACAAATTTTTTCATGTGTAGTCTTGCTGCAAGTGATGTTTTAGTTACGGTCTTTAGTGTTCCGTTCACGGTATTGAGTAACTTAGTTTTTATGTACTGGCCTTTTGGACCCTTTCTGTGCCCAGTCATTTCACTACTACAGTTGATGGTTAATCTGCTTCGAGCTCTGACGTTGGTTGCGATGACGTGCGATAGATATTTTGTGATAACAAAACCTTTCAGCCAACGCCTTACTTTGAAGCAGGCAAAACTTGTGATTGCTGGTATTTGGTCTTTTTCTTTCCTATTTTCTCTCCCTGTGGCAATATTTTCAAAAATTGTTTATTTACCCTATGAACCTGGATCAAAAGGCCTCTGTTTTGAGGTCTGGTCCAATGAATCCTTACGTCGTGTCTACGGAATTGTCATTATGTTAATACAGTACTTTATTCCCCTACTACTGATGTTCTTGACCTTCTCACATATCGCAGTGATTGTGTGGACAAAGAGGACACCCGGGGAGGCGAACAAAAAAAGAGATGAAAGACGAGGACGATCCAAAAAGAGAGTAAGTGAAGAATGCTATCATACTTACTTTAAAGCAATGTGACTTGCTTGGGGGGTTAGTCACTGAAGCTAGTACATGTACTTTTAAGATGATAAAAACTAAGACATAGAGGATTAAGAAAAATAAAATAAATGTCCCTCATTTCCAGTACTTGCTAATCAGTGATTATATATCATTTCACACATAATTATCTCAATTTTCTTTGTTTACAGATGCTGCAGATGCTGATTATAATCGTTTTAAACTACTTCCTATCATGGCTACCTTTCCATGTGATCAGCATTGTTGGTGATGTCCACCCATCTATTTACGATTCCATGTCAATGCACGTGCTCTGGGCCCTGGCTCACCTCCTTTCCATTAGTAACAGCGCTACAAACGCCGGCATCTACTACTGGAGGAACAGGACTTACAGAGTAGCCTTTCAGAATCTTTGGAAATGTTGTATTCAGTGCGGATGCATGTTTGGAAAAGATACCAATAGATATAAACACGTGTCCTTAATATTATCTCAACCAATTTCACGGCGTTCGTCAAGTGTTTTAAAATTTCCACGACATTCGCCGGCTAATATGACACTTAAAACAGATATTTAGACTTTTTCTCCCAGTACTTGGCGTAAAGGCCAACTGATGACCTTATTATTAATTTGTTGGAATCCTTGCAACGAATAATTAGTGATTATGCATGTGCTTAGACTGCATCAAACTAGTTACATATTCTCTTAATGTGACGTCACAAGTGTATTTCATAGACTATTATTGGAAAATTTTTGGGTCAATAAATGGTTCAAATGTAAAATATATAAAATGTTAGAGTCAGTTTTATGGGGTTATATTAACAAACCACTTTTTCGTTACACCAGCAATAGCTAAATATTCTATAAAGAGTTTCACTTATTCTGTGCCGGAAATTTATGATTGACAGCTTTGAAAGAGAAGAAAAAAACCTAATCGATTAGCACCGAACTTTCGATCAGCCAATGAAAAGGCGATTTAATGTCTAGGTAAGATAGGTCATATTTAGTAAAATTTTAGCAGTTAAGAAGGGATTCAGTCACTTTCCTGTCTTCACCCTTATTAATTGCTTAAATTTTATTGAATATGGTCTAACTTTTAATATATGTTCTTGGTGCACATCGTTTTTCAAAGCAATCGCCAAATAAACTAGATATAGGTATTTCTTAAATAATCTGTATTTATAGAATAAAAATATTCTTTATTCTTCAGCACAACTTATTCAGGGAAGATAACATTAGTAATGAAGTTCAAATTGATGGACTGTATGTGTTGGACATATCATTATTATTTTTTTTTTGTACGAAGTCCCTGAACAAGAGAAGTGGAAATTGTACTCTAACTATCTCGGAGACAATACATTCCTCATTTTTCAATTAAATTCGCCATTATTATTATAAAACTACATGTCTGTTATTCTGAGCTGACACGTTCATCATTTATTATGGCGTGTAGTGATTTCTGTCGAACTATTTTCAAATGTATAGTTTATTTGAAATCCTGCTTTTTTAGGTTCAATATTACATAAAATGCTTGACTTGTCTGTCACTCTAAGCTGAAACTTTTACATCTTAAAAGTGTAATCATTAATGGTTAATGCGGCTGGTGTTATTGCAAATTTTGGCACTAGTACTTCTGAATACTGAAAAATGGCTCACAGAACATGGGTTTTAAGTCCAAAGTACAAAATAAAAATTTCCCAAGAAGAAATTCAAATTTGATTTCTTCTGTAAACTAAAAGGCAAACATAAAAGATGTGTGACCACAGAGATAAGTAGATACATGTAACATCAAATGGCGACAGAACATTATTTCTATAATGAGACGAATTTTCAAGTCGGCGAGCAAAGCTTTGACGCAGTTTACGGAAAATAAAGACAAGCATATATTGTGTTGATAAATTATCGTAGAAGACAATGGTAATAAACACTAATAAATGGTCTGCCAGTGCATTTCCTCTGAAATGAGCGCAATTCTGGGGAGGGGGGGGGGGGTACTCCAAATAATTCGGAGTTGGATACCTTGTATTATTATTATACTATGGGTTAAAACTTTATTACCAAAACAAGTTTCTGTGTTATAAACTGCTGAAAAATATATGTATCTGTACAGAATCTTGTTTTAAATAGTGCGTATAATAAAATTATCTGCATTGTCTGAAAGTGAATGACAAGGATTAAAATGACCCCCCCCCCCCATGATTATTTTTTATAATATGTGTCAATTTAAGGAAGCTCTAAACACTGCACACTAAAGAGTTCTACTTAAAGGGTAGTTTTATGCAGTTAGAGTAATCTTTCCTCAGATGTAAGACAGAAAAAATGGTTACTTTCAGTTAATTACACAATGTATAATAGATTAAAATATTCTTGTCATTATATTAGACCAAGAAAAAGTGATTGAATTCATTATTTCCATTAATTTTCCCAATGTAAGTAAACAACAGCGCTATATAGGGGTTTCTGCTCACAAATAGGCTATTGTCTTTGAACATTCTTCCTGCAGAAATAAGGCAGGTACCCTATGTTGAAAATGAACTAAATAATCTCAATATGCACAGCTTTATAGCGAGCGCAGCGAGAAGCGCGAAGCGCCGCTCGTCACTGCGAGCTCTAACGACAACGCCTGGGCGAAGAGAAAATTCGGACTACTGCACATTCATTCAATACAATTTTTTTTCCGCAGTAATTCTGGACCCACAATGCATCGCTTCTTGTTCTCGCTGCTAACTTCATTCACGCGGTAGCAACAACTAAAATTTCTCAAAAAATAAACTCACCTTAATTTAACTGTTTAATGGATATTGCATGCAGATAGTAGATTAAACATTCTTTGTTAAAATATTTGCACTTTTTAAACTTTGTTTATGGAAATGCAGCTAACATATGACGTCATGAGACGTCACAGTCTAGACGTTCCAAATGTCTCGTGCGGTTTGAAGAGGCGGGTCTTAAAATAAAGTGAACAATGCGCTCGCCCCAACGGTCGCACCGTCAGCATATTACGATGTATTTTTCTCCAATTCCAAAAATCGCTTTTTGTTAGTGTTTAGAGCTTCCTTAACATATGATGTAGTCAAATTGAGTTTGACTTTATGTAAACCACAAAGATTTAAATTAAGGAAGTTATGGGCAAACCCACAATTCTTTGCAAATAATTCAGATAAATAAAGCGTAACTAATTTGTGCTTACTTTTTTGGGATATTTTACTAATACGCTTACATGTGCGATACATGTGGCCATATCGGGATCGTTATTCCCACCCACACACTTTATTTAGAACGATGTCTGTCGATTTCAATTCCAGAAGATCATGTGTTGTTTGTACGAAAGGTTGTGTGGCAAGTAGCCAACATTTAGCCTCAGAAATTGGCATTGGTAAGTTATTTTAATGCCTATTTCATGAGAACATATTATCACAACATAAGCCTCAAACAAAGCGAAACAACACTACTTGCTAAAACGAATTAAGAATTATGAGGACGTCGAACCCGAGATATTAAAAAAAAAGTTCAAGAATGTAGTCTTTATAAATTATGTTTATGAAAAATATTTAATGTGTTAAGCAACAGAACATGAACAAGTAAAGAATACGTGATTCCTGCCTATAGGTGCATGTACTGTCATCTGCATTAAGCAGCCTGTGGTTAGAGCACTATTGTTATGATTTAATGAGTAAAGCCTGCCTGATTTTCGTTATTGCAGGATAAAAATAAATTTCATGTTCATTATAATTTCATAATTATACAATTCATGTATGTACACTGTATATACACTGTATAATTAAACTATATCCAGCTGAAAAAAAAGAAATTACTCATAATGAAGGGTTTAAAAGGGACTTATACTTTATAGTGAATTATAGATTTAATTTTCTAAACAAAAATTAGGATCATGTTTTTAATTTATCATAAAATTGATTCAAATCATCAGAATTTTAGGGGTTCTGAGTCCATTCGTGGTTGTGCTATTAAACCAAGAATGGCAAAATACCCTTTTTTAAAATTAATATCACATACATACATGATTAATGCATTAATTGTCTTCTAATGTAAAAAATATATCTTTTTATCAAAAGACATAGTTTGTGTTGATTTTATAATAAATTTTGGGCAAATTTTACATTTGAAAACTGTCCATATCTCATTAAAATCTAATTCCTGTACATCTCACAATATTGTCTTTGAAGTATACAGCAGCTCTCAGCATGCCATATCAAAGCATAAATATCTCAATACATTGTATTTAGAATTTATGAATTAGTTAAAGTAAATAGTTTTGATTTTCTTTCTCCAGGTATTCTCAAAAAGGGAGGCAATGCAGCTGATGCTGCTGTTGCTATGGCAGCAGCCTTAAATGTAACAGAGCCTTGCTCTACAGGGATTGGAGGAGATGCTTTCTGTCTATTTTATGATTCCAAAGCAAATGAAGTGCACAGTGTCAATGGAAGGTCAGGCCATGCTACAAAATATTATAATTAGCATTGTTATCTATCTATCTATCTATCTATCTATCTATCTATCTATCAACAGATCGATCTAATCTATGAAGAGATAAACGGTTCCTATGCAGGTTATACAAGTACAGTATAACTTGGGTGGCTATTACATTTATTCCTTAGTTACAAAGTAATTTTCTAACATGTAGGGCAAAAAAAAATCCAATTTCCCCTCAAAAATGACTACAAATTCTGTAATGTCAAGTAAAATTAATATGTTTTTGACATTTATCAAATTGTGATGTAGACAGGATACATGTTAATGGTATAAACATATTATTTCAGCCAATCAAATGGTGTGTTAAAACCAGATTAATTTACTTGGAAATAAACCAGCAACCAATTTGATGTAATTTGAGATAATAAACAGAGTAATTCTTTCTGATGCTAATGTTTCTATGCTTATAAATATTTTATTTCAGAATGACAGGGTCCCGTTTAACAAAAATAGTTATGTCTATGACCAAAAACTTTTAAAATTTTGCAAAAATAATGTTTCTGTTTAAAATTGCCTGTATAAATTATCTGTGTAATATCCTTTTAAAAAGATTAAAACCATGTTCATATTTATGTTAAAAAAAAAGAAAAGTTATTTTGTAAGTTACATTTTTGTACTAGTCGTAAGATTTTTTATGTAAAATGGGATCCAGATTATTAAGTTTAGTTTAAACTTTGATTCATTTTCCAGTGGTAGAGCCCCTTCTAAGCTGACTGTAGAATTGCTTCACTCACAGGGATTTTCCATGACTCAGCCATTTCCTGCCCAGACACATGGACATTCAGTGACTGTGCCTGGAGCTCCTGCAGCATGGATAGACACAGTAGAGAAATTTGGAAGTGGGAAGGTTAGGTTAAAAATGGCTAGAGAATTCTATTTTGATAAAGACATTTTAAAAGTGGAATATTTTTGAAAGATGAAAATTTGACATTTGATATGTACTACCTTTGAATGTTAATTATCACGCCCAGTAAATATTATATAATAAGGCCATTCCAAGTTTTTTCTATGTTTTAGCATCTGCGTGTGCCTTGGTTTTTGACACCCCATATGAGAAAAAACAAACAAAATCAGGAGTCCTGAAATTGATTATTCTGGTCAAAATCTTTCAATTCTGTCAATATCTCTAAGTATTAATTTACAATATGCCATATTTTGTATATTTTAAGCATTAAATACCTGAATTTTGCTAAAGAATAAATTTTTTACAAGAAAAATAGATTAATGAAATGAAATGCTTTGTATGACATCATTTTAAAAACTATAAAGTCTGTGTTTTATTTTTTGACTTGTTTGTTTTTTGCGAATAGGTAGGTAGGTTTTTGAAAGATGGGTGGATGCTAAACAGAGAAAAAACTTGGAATGGCCTAAACTGAAGGAGTCGCGTTCTTTGGTGTCGAAGAATTAAAAAAAAACTGGTTATCTTAAAATTAACACCTGTGAGTGTCTAGCACCAGTATGGTTGGAAATGGCCATTAGCTGTTAATTGTGAAGTCAAGGAATATTCTTTGGGATTAGTCAGATATTAAAAAAAAAAAAAAGTTTCATTAGAAGTTTCTAAAAAGCAAGTTTTAAATGAAAAGAAAATGCAGTAAGACACGTTCATAGCAAATTTACATATAACGAATTGATACTTACAGTAAAGTGATTTTCATTTCCCATGGCTTTAAAATATATTGTGAATGTGATGGATATAACGAATTACTTTTATAACAGTGCAAATCATCTGTGTCCTGGCA